CCACCCAGGTGGCCGCTCAGGCCCACGAGTGGAAAAGGCCCAGCTCCCCGCCCACCAGCACAGCTGTCCGCAGGCCACCCCCCAGGGCCCAGGCCTTCTGCCTCCCCCGCCTCGGGGCTCCTGGGGGAGAGGAGCCATACCCTGAGGAGGTCTGCAGCTTCAGGACCCAGATTTTACTCTTTGGAAAGAGGTGAAACTGAAGTGTTTTAACACAGGGGAAGGCGAAACCCATTTCCGACTTTCTCTTTCTTACCTCCACAACTTCAGGAAATAATTCACAAAAGACTTTATCTTTCAAATTAAACGCTAAACTCTGCGCTGCCAGTTGTCTTTTCTAGGAAGGAAGAGAAGGGAATCAGCCAGAAAACTAATTTCAATTCTTCTAAAATTATAAAAGCAGATGATTTCAAAGTCAAGGGCTGCAGTCTTCACGCTGCAGAAAGCACTTAATTAGCACACTCTTCACAGCAAACTCAGTCTTATAAAGGCTTCTTAATCTTCTCATCAATTAATGATATCACACTCAATTCCTATTAAAAATAGAAAAATAAACACCAGCTAACAAAAGCACTGTGCTCCCGGCTGAAAAGGCCCCCGCCGTCTGTGCGACTGGCACTGCCTCGGCCCACCCCAAGATCCCGAGGAGGAGCCACTGGCGGGTGTGGATGAGGCTGGAGGTGAAGAAAAGCAAGACCGAGAGACAGCGGCGAACACGAGGCCACAGAGCAGAGCAGTCTCCACCACGGTGCCTGGGACAAGGGGTGCCTGGGACAAGGTGGGAACTCCACCCAGCCCCGCCTGCTGAGAAGAAAGGCAGCTACAACTCAGGAACAGAACACAGCCCCAGACACAAGGCTGATGGCCCACAAGGGAGAGGCGCTCGAAAGCTCACCGTGAAGTCCGACGTCTCTATACTGCCCAGGGTGGGGCCCTTCTCCACCATGAAGCTCAGGAGCCCGGTCAGGATGGTGGAGACAGACCAGGCTGGGTTCCACGTGTCCGGGTGGAAATCCGTGATAGAAAGACACAGCCTGCGAAACAGGGGCCCTGTCAGTGCACACTCCCCACTGCGGCCAGAAAGCTTCCACGGCACCCTCCAGGCACCTTACCTGGTGTTGCACTTAAATCTTCCATTGGGAGTTATCATATAAATACTAGGAGGTTTGAAAGGAAATTCTCTGGGAAAAATTAGTTTTCCGTGATAATAGCCACCTACATGGAAACAAAACAAAGAGCCTTGTCGTCCTCCACAGCAGGGGCTCCTGGAGACCTTGTCCCCATCCCCACACCACCCCGCCCCCCAGCTCAGCTCCTGAGTCCTCACTGCCCTTCCGTGCCGAGCCGGCTCCCAGACTCAGTCCCCCACTGACCTTACTCTCCAGTGCCACTCCTGTCATGACCCACCCACCGTCATGACCACCCAGACCCAATGGCCCTCCCCACCCTACCCGTACCCACATGACTGGACCCAGACCCCCCACTTCCCCGGGAGCTCAAGACCTCCATAGCTACCGCACACCTCTCCCCCTGGAGCGTCCACACACCCACACCAAGAGCAGAGGGTCGGGAGAGGCAGGCAGGCCTCCTTGCAACACCCTCAGCACATCAGGAGCTCCAGGCCCAGCTGAGGCCGCCCCTCCCAGGACTCAGGTCCAGACCCAGCGACTCTCCAGCATTGTTCGCTTCCCCGACCAACCGCACCCAAAGGCCAGCAAAACCCACCTCAAACACACCACTACCCACCACACCCCCCTCCAAGTTCTGCCAAATGCCCCCGCCCTGACCTGAACCCCTGGATTCGGGCCTCATCCATGGCTGTTCCCACGTCCTCCCCTCCCAAGCTCTCGAATCCACCCGACCAGGCTTTCTCCCTGGCCTACCAAACCTGACCTGAAGGTCGACCTCAGGGTCACCCACACGTACCCACTGGTGGTGG